CTGTCCAATTGTCCAGCCTCCAACGGTGATCCACACAGAGAATAAGATTGTAACTTCTAGGGTTTTTATCTTGTGCCAGCAAGAATTATGAAAACCATATGGACCTTAAACCCTAGCTATGTATTTATATAAACCCAAACGGACTCGGCCCGATCCGATCCAATCCAATATTTAATTAATCCAATTAATTAAACCCGGTCCGTGAATTAATTAATCTAATTAATTAATTTGGGAATATAAATAACAAATCCAATTAATTAATTTATCCAACGGTTGTTAAATTAACCAATTGGCAATTTGCAATCTTCAAATTCTCTTTTGTGTGCGACCCATTAGGTTCCCGACCACGATACCTAACGACATGAAATATTATTTTGATCTAATCAAAATTGATAAATTAAAACACCATTTTAATTTATCGTCAATTCACACTCGTCGTCCCTGATTGACATCTAGCAATGTGTCAGGGCAATACATGTGACGGAAATGTCACGTGGTATGACAAAACCAAATTCGTTCGTTTACCGTGAAACTATAACCCCTTCGTCAATATGATCCGATCAATTACGAGATATGGAATTATGTCAATATCGATCATCGATCATATCTTTCACTCTACTAGTAAGTCAATATAAGTCAAAAACTCATTTTCGACTTATGACTACACCTTGACCAAGGATTTCGTTATCGACTTAATTGAATGAAACGCAGATCATAATCTCTTACTATCTAAGAGTGACGAATCCTTTATTGATCAATCACAACCTTCATATGATTCTTGACGTACCCGAACGACGTCGTATTAGCGGCCCTTTTCAGAGCAACATCCAACACCGCCAAAGTATGACTGTCCTCATATAAGGTACCATGACGACCTCAAGTCAAAGGATCAATTCCACTACCGAACGTTAGAGATTAACCACTGACACTCAGATAGTTATCCATGTGAAATCTCTCGACGGGTCTCCAATGTTTTGTTCTTAACAAAACATCCATATGTTTATTTAAGTGTCACCACACTTTAACTTGTGAAATCAGCTACTTACTTCACAAGTAAGAAATGCCACACGTGATGGTCTATCCGTAATAACGATATCCGTATCTCGTTATTACTTACGACCACAGATGATTTAAAATTCATTCAGATGTAATTTGTATCTCACAATCACAACTCTTTGTGATTAACAAATTATAAATATTTGAATCTACGGACTCTATTATTTATTTAATTGTCTATTAATTAAATAATAGATCTGCCATTTAATTGCATTAATTATATATAAAAGTATTTATATCCAAAGTTGATTGGACTTAGGGCATAATACTTACAGGATGTGTAAACACAAATTGATGGTAGCATGAATTATTAGGCACAAATTATGATTATACATTTTTTTTTTCCTGAATTACAAATACCAATCATATACATGAATTGAATGTACGATTTGATGGAATAAAATTTACATGTCACCAAATTAATTTTGGTACATGTGAAAGATGATTATGCTTAAAAAAAAATTATTACTTTCACTAGATTTATAAAAACTAAGTTTTTATGCTGATAACGTATTATAAAAAGAGAGAAAAATAGAAGAGATAATGAAAGTCAATAAATTTTTTTTTTTTTTTTGCATTTTATTAATAACAAAAGCCTTATACTTATAGGTAAGAATCAGAAATACAACAGTAAAAATTTGTAGGATTAAAGGGGTACAATTATTATTTACTAATAAACTTACTATTTACAACAACCATATACCAATTTTGAATATTGCAAACAAATATTCAACTATATCTCTAAAAAGTTTCCATACAATGTTCAGGGGTAAAAAAGGGTTCATAAGAAGTTTTTCGAATTAATTTGGTGTCCGGATCAATTTACGCGCACCTCTACTAATTTTACAAGTCCTTGAAGTTTACAACCGCGTACTCATTTCAATAGTTCTGAGGGGATTCGAACAATTAATTTGCTTTTTATTCGCCATTGTTAGGATAATTTCTCTAATATAAAAATGATTTTTATATTTTAATTGGGCCACAATTCTTCCCACTTTATGGAATAATTTACACATCTTTCGAACCATTTAAATCTTGAAATCAAGAAAGGTGAACAATATAGCGTTGAGAATTAAGGAAATTAAAATTGAATTTGGACAGACGAATAGAGACGGAGAATATGACAGTGAAATCACAAATAGAATTTAAGAAGATTTCGAAGGTAGAAACATTTGGGCATGATGAACTAATTTAAGTTTGAGCTAGATTATAATTGATTTGACTTGGATTATAGAATTTCTCAAGGATATAAATTTATATAGAGAGGCATTTCTCATGCATTATAAATAGCCCCTTCTCAAAATCGTGGTATTTTAATGCCACCCAAATCCCATTTTAGCAGCACGAAACATTATGCCTTAGCTGATCAATTATTTTCATGTAATAAATAAGATTTATATAGCATAGGCTACAATAAAATGACTGATCTGCCTGGGTCAAAATTTGTCCATGTTTGGTTTAGTTTAAAATGTTGATAAAGAATTTAGTCAAAATAATATTATACGTAATTGAAAATATTTCATTCTTTTTTAATCACTCATTTACAAAAATAATAATAATAAATTATTCCAACAACTTTTACTTTCAAAAAATGGTTGCCAAACGGGCTGATAATTAATGAAGAACACACGGATTCATGTATTCCGTACTCGGTATCTAGTTTCAGAGATCGATTCGGGATAAGGACAAAAAATTTGATATAAATATATATTTTTTGAGTTATGCTACTTGTACTTGTTTGTTCGTATTTTGGTTTACTCGGATCCATCTCCTCCTCTTACATGGGGTTGGACTCCACCTTATGACCCCCACATAGGACCCGACCTCATGTGAGAAGAATGATGGAGTCGGATAGCCCAAAGTGTCAACAAACAAGTACAAATGACTTAATTCATATTTTTTACATTGGAAAAAAATTATTGGACAGGGCATTTATCTCATAGTAGAGTTGGGCGTACAGGCCAACTCCTTATAGACTGCTTCTTTATCTCAAGGTTGTCCCTATCTCTTGCCTGTCTTAGTTTTGGTCTCTTCCGTCTTGAATATATAAAATATTCTGTACTTATAGAATATTAGTACAAAATATTTTTTTTTACAAAATTTGTACAGATCAATACTTGATAAATTATTATTGAAAGATGTTAAAAAAAAATATAAAAGAAAAGCAATCATACAGGTGCTACCAACGTAGCGTCCGTACAATTTTATTATTATTAATTTTTTTTTTGGTACTTGCAGAATTATTCATAGAATATATGCACACATAATTGTAAACTTATTAAGAGAGAGAAGAAGATATAACTCAATTTTCAATACTTTCTTTTACGAGGGAGAGGGTTGGTGGCCATGAATAATATAATATTTATAAATCCAATAGTTTTGACTTTTGACTTGTCAGCACAATTTAAACTTTACGATCAATATTTTTTCTCACACGTTTTTGTCGATGATAAATAGAGTTAAAAACTGTTTGCAAGTATTAGCTGTTTTTTGTCAACATTTACAGCCTCGCCTCACATTGGAGATATCTAAACTTGTGTGGATTAGGTTTTTCTCTTATTTTTTCTGGTTTTCACCTGTAGTTCGTGTTTTTAATTGATAATTCCATTGAAAAATCCATTGCTATTATCAATATAGCTTTTTTTCTATGGGAGAAATTCATCATATGAACTTTTTTTTTTTTTTGGATGTCTAGTATACGTAATTATCGAGTCGAGCTTCGTTGTGTTATATAAAGTTTATCACCCTTACATTGCTATGAGTTCTGGACTAATCATACAACTTCATACATGGAAGAGATTTAGAGTTCGTTTGACAGAATTTTTACTTTGTAGAAAAGCTTCCGATAAAGTCAACTTATGTCAATTTACTTTAAAAGCTATTATATTCAAACAAAGCACTTAAAAAGAAAATTATTTCTTCCAAATAAGTATTTAGATTAATTAACTAATCTAATACTTCTAACACCTTCCCACTTTGTGATGCCAAACTTCAAAATGAATAAGATATAATAAAAATAATTTAGCCCTTGTTTGGGCTCCATTAAAATTAATTTTTAGGGAAAATGTATTTTGAAATAATAATTTATTGAATTTGTGTGGTAAAAAAAAAGTTTTATATTTATGTATAGTATTATTTTATTAAAGAATATGTAACTAAAAAAAGAAAAAAAATACACTAAAATTAAAATGGAACTAAATAGGGGCTTAGACATCCACCAAATTAGTCGCTTTCAAATGAATGTTTCCAGTGCAATTTCACATTATTTGAGAATCTTTAAGTTGCGTAATCGCCTAGTTATCAATAAAGATAATCTCTATAAAGTAGTTTGATTATAATTCACTTTTTGAAAAGTAAAAAGTTCATGTTCTTTAGTCACAAATAAACAATTTGTTAGAAAGCGCTCAACGCAATTACCATAAAATGTAATAATTTCAAAGTCAATGTTTTTCGTTAATTAATTATTTTTTTAGGTCTCGATTTTAATTCCAAATCAATAATTTATAAGATTAAAAGTCGGATAATTTTATCTGATTAGAAAAATGTTCTAATTTAATTAATTGAAAAAAATCTTTCAGAAGAAGTAAAACTAAAAACGGTAACCTTGTCAAACATGATTCTAAACTAGAATTGAACGATCCAGTTCGGAATTAACATCTCATGATTTCCATGTAATCGACTCTTAAAAAGGGAACTAAAGTGAAAACAAATGGATGAGCAAAAAGGTATTCGTATCAACTTAAAAAACTACATTAAAACGCGGTTTTTTTTCACATTCCATGATTGATTAAAATAATGTCGTACCTAAAATCAAGAAATCTCAACACGTGGGTGAATATTGTTGCCTTCTCACCTTAGAGACCTCACTTCCATACTATTTGAGGGGTACCGTGTTAGAGAAATTACGACGTCGTTTCATAATGAAACACTTTTAAATATCCCTCCTTACTTGGTCTAAATTCTAACCGTGTCTTTTAGATAATTTTCCGTGTTCTTCTTCTACACAAATCTGTCTTATTTTCACTCTCTAAAAACGACAGGAATCTTGGCTTCTAAGTAATTCATTGCATTTTGGTTAACAAGGAAGACAAGATTTTGAGTTTTTGGGCTGTTTTTCTTTGTGCTTTTCTGTTTCTTGCAAATTGACAATCTGAAGCTCAAGTCTTTTTCTTTTTTCAGTCTTTTAAATTCGAGCTCATCTCCTCTATCGGGCAAATTTAAATTTGCTCGATAATTTAATGCAAGACGCAGAGAATTTAGAAGTAGGAGAAAATTTTACGGCCTCTGGTACAAGTGATGCCAGAGATTCAAGCCAACAATGGCAATTCACTGCCATATGGCAGCGAGGAAGAGCTGGGCCGCAAGCTCTTCAAGAAGTACGAGCTGGGGAAGCTCCTCGGCTATGGCGCCTTCGCGAAGGTGTACCACGCCCGGGAATTAAGCACCAGCCAGAGTGTGGCCATTAAGGCCATGGGCAAGCAGAGGATTCTCAGAGGGAACCTCACCTCACATGTCAAGAGGGAGATTTCTATATTGCGCCGGCTGCGTCATCCCCACATCGTGCGCCTTGATGAGGTTCTGGCCACCAAGAACAAAATCTATTTCGTTCTGGAATTTGCAAAGGGCGGTGAATTGTTTGCCAAAATCGCGAAAGGCCGCTTCAGCGAGGAACTCAGCCGCAAATACTTCCAGCAATTAATCTCCGCAGTGGATTACTGCCACTCCCGCGGCGTTTTCCACCGCGATTTGAAGCCGGAAAACCTGCTACTGGACGAGAATTGGGATCTCAAAATCACGGATTTCGGACTCTCAGCCGTGTCGGACGAGGTCCAACCCGACGGCCTCCTCCACACTCTCTGCGGAACCCCCGCCTACGTGGCGCCGGAAATCCTCGCAAAGAAGGGTTACGAAGGCGCAAAAGTCGATATCTGGTCATGTGGAATCATACTGTATGTATTAAATGCGGGTTACTTGCCATTTAACGACCTGAATTTGATGGCGATGTACAGGAAAATCTACAAAGGAATATTCCGATGCCCCAAATGGACGTCGCCGGAGCTAAAGCGGTTCTTAACCCGGATCCTAGACCCGAACCCGAGCACCCGGATTACCATTCATGAAATTCTCGATGACCCGTGGTTCCAAAAGGGGTACAAGGAGATTAAATACCCAATTGAGAATGAACTTGAATTAAAGAATTTTGGCCAAGGAGAAGAGAAGGGTTTCTTGAATGCCTTTGATATAATTTCATTTTCCTCCGGTTTCGATCTGTCCGGTTTGTTCAATAACAATGGGAATCGCATTGATGGCGAAAAGTTAATCTCGAAAGAGCCACCGGAGAGAATAATTGAGAAAATTGAGGCGGCTGCGAACGAGGAGGGACTGGTGGTGGCAAAGAAGGGATTTGGTGTAATGCTTCAGGGACAGAACGGGAATTTTACTCTAATGATTGAGATTAACCGGTTAACGGAGGAGCTGATGATGGTGGAGGTGAAAAGTAGTGGACTTGGTCCACTTGGATTTGATATATGGAAGGAGAAATTCAAGCCACTACTCGATTCTTTACCGGAGGCCCGACACATAGCCGGTAACTGAAAAAGTGATTGTCGCAGATCCACGTGGGGACATATAACAATTATGAATTTGTTTAATAATTGATCTCTTTTTGTAACGTTTCATGTCATATTCTGTATCTGTAAATTAATCGTAATTGAAAAGAAAATTTTAAAAAATTAGTTAAGCATAATAATTAATTTAAAAATACTACAGGTTGCTCAAATTTAACAAAGTTTCATTTTGATCACTTAACTATAGTCTGTTTAAAATTCAATTCAAACTTTCAATTCTATTTTAGCTTGCTTGCTAATAACCATTATGTTTTAATAATTCGTCCCTGTTTGATGAAAATTAAAACGGACTTTTACAAATTTTGATAAAAGTTTATAAAATATGTTGTTGAAAAATTATGGATCCCATATAATATGTGATTAAAATTAATTATTGACTTTTATTTAAATTAAACATATAAATTTTAATCGCTATCAAACAGGGATTTAAATTCATTTTCCTACTGTGAATTTCCTTACATGAATAACATGGACATTGAAATAGTTAATTAGTTTTTTAAACGTGCAATAATCATGTCTTTCAATTGGTATAAGTATTGTTTACGTCATACTCCTTCTGTCCCAATTATATAAGCTTATTTTATTTTTTACATGGATTAAGAAATCTTATTTAAAGTTATTGAAAAAGTATTTTTTGTCAATAATTTTTCTAGTTTATCCCTATTCAATTTTCAACAAGTAATAAATTATTGTTGAAATTAGTAAAGAATTTGAAAATTTGACTTCAAGAAGTAGGCAAATTATTGGGAAATGTGTGTATTTAGATGATTTCAAGAAGTAGGCAAATTAAATTGAGAAAATTAATTGTAACTAGGTAAATTAAATAAGAGTATATTAGTAAAGGAACAAAACATAATATTCTAAATTAGAAAACATGATTACATATTTGGGACAAGAAAAAAACCAAACCTATGTAATTGGGATGGACGAAGTACTTGATTGCACTGAAACTTCAATTTCAATGACACGACTTTCATGTTAAAAGCACAAGTTTGCATCGCTTGCCAGCATATTAATTAATGTCAAGAGGAGCCTATGTTATATATGCAATATTGATATTCGTTAATTGTTCGACTCTATAATTAGGCTCCATTTAGTACACATTAATGTAAAAATGAGAATGAAATATATAGTCGTTACGGGTCCCACACAATAAATAGAAAGTCAAATATGATGGTTTGATATGATGAATAACGACCATATTTTTCATTTTAATGAGTTAAAAATGAGAAACAAACGGGCTTAATATATTGAATAGTGTGAAAATAATTATAATTACTAAAAATAGATTAAAATATTCATTATTATGTCCAATAAATATTATACAGCACAGCTAATCCATAGTTGTTTACACACAAATTTTTGTCAACTAGCATGATTAGTTGTCATATGAATAATAATAGTTTAGAAAAGAAGAATATTCTCCTTTTAATAAGTGGCAAAAAAAACTTTGTGCTTATCACAAATTGGTAAGTACAGGTCATTATCAGATAATTGTGGACCATATTCAATTTGTCGGGCCCAATATCATAAATATTGTGGGTCCATTAATTATAGGTATATTGTTCCATCTCTTTCTTATCATCTTCCTTGGTTAACAATTTTTGATACCTTGTGGTGCATATAACAATGGCATTTATGGACCTTTGAAACGCGAAAGGGATGTACGAGAAGAGGTTAGAATCGATAAGAATGTATTAATTGAAAAATGGGTTATTGGTCAGGATGTGTAATCACTCAATAAGAACTTCTGTTGTTTGGTATTTGCCAGAATGTGACAAGTACGTGATGAAGATGGAAGTTTAAATAGAATTCTAAATTCTAAAGTGGATCCAAAATAGCTAGGTCATAAGGGGATTTATAAATGCCTTTTATCTAAAACTCTTTTTTGAAAAATGGGTTATTGGTCAGGATGTGTAATCACTCAATAAGAACTTCTGTTGTTTGGTATTTGCCAGAATGTGACAAGTACGTGATGAAGATGGAAGTTTAAATAGAATTCTAAATTCTAAAGTGGATCCAAAATAGCTAGGTCATAAGGGGATTTATAAATGCCTTTTATCTAAAACTCTCTTATTTTAAACATATATTGTGCTAACTTAATCTGTTGATATTCAATTTATAGATTTAACCAATTAAAAAAATCATCGTGCTCTACTAACTCGATCATTTGAAACTGAACAGTTTGTAGAAGATGCATATTCTTGTCAATAAGTCGCAGAATCTAGCTATTATGGATCAAAAACTCTCTCTTGAAATTTCTAGTGATAACAACTTAAATTCATAAATTGTAAGCGCAAAACATATCCTAAAACTTCACAAAATTGCTGCATAATGAAGTTGATGATGATACGATAATTTTGAAGAAAAACATCAAACAATCAGCAATCATAATAGAGAAAATTAGAATTGATACAAAACTAGTTGAAACGATATGTACTAGAAATTATTGGAAAGAAAATCGATTGAAATTGTGTTTGGGAAATTAAAAACTTGCTTGGTTAGAGAATTGAAATTTTGAATTTGAACGTATGAAGAGACAATTTTACTTTCCTTAATTCTCAAGAGAATTCAAGTTGCCAGTAATTTTGCATTTATGGTTTTCATCTATTGTATTTTCAAGTAATTTTTTCAATTCCAATCAAATAATAAAGTTGAGTATATCCCTAATCAAATAGCATAGCCCACAAATATGTAATCGACGAGTCGAATCTTGAATGGCAGCCATAATACCCAATCAATCAACCACAATCAAACCCATAAAATAGAGCACTAAGCCCACGACAACCTAACCTTATCCAAAACTCAATATACTAGCACCACAAGTGACACACAAACACCAAGGATGGTAATAGAACGAGTATGAGATGAATCAATCATTCTCGTCCCTCATTCGATCGAATATTTTTATTACACCATCTCACCCTCATACCCGATTAGAGCGGGACGGGACGGGACTGGACTGAAATTAATTTATTTATTTTTTATATCTTTAGTTGGCGAACATTATTATCTTCTTTTTTCAATTGTTTAAGAACAATTCATGTTCTCTTTTAAAATGATGATAGATATTTTCTTTTTGTTTGATAAAAAAATTTAAATTTGAAATTAATCTTAAATAGTACGAGGAAAATATTTTGCTTTAGGGTAACGACTCTCGCCCCTATCCCCACCCCGTTTACCTGCAACATTTGAGATAGCCTTGTTGGTATTGAATTGAACGATTTTTTTTGTCATTCCTAAACATCATCTAGTAATTAAACATCGCTAACATTGTTCTCTTCTAATAATGGTAACGTTACCCTTGCCCCGGTCCCCACCCCGCTTACCTGCAACATTCGAGACGGCCTTGCTAGTATCGAATTGAACGATTTTTTCTGTCATTCCTAAACATCATCGATTAATTAAAACTAACATTGTTCTCTTCTAATAATGGTAACAATTGAAGGGGGTAAGAGTTGAATAAACCAGAAAAATTTGACGGAACAAGAGGGTGTGTGGAAAAAACTTTGGCCGAACAAGCAGCACAAAATCATTCGCTGAATGATGAAAGCAATTCTCAATTCAAACCAAATCAAAGAAGTTATTATTCAATACACCAAATTATGACAAATTAAAATATTATCTAAAATCCCTGAAGTTATCAATTACACCAAACAATTTGTGGATGCAATTATTCAAGAATTCAAATTTAAAACCTTATCAAAAACTAGATTCATTGATTTGAACTTGACAAATCAAAAATAGAATAGTATTTCTAGAAACGGCTTATCAATCATATATGTAAACTTTTGACAAAATCACCGATGAATTATCTTATGACTTATAAAATAATTATCGAATGACGCAGATAGGTATTTTTCGAGTCTCCAAAAATGCAAGTAGAGAGATAAATAAGCAAAATCATTGTAATATTAAAAATAAATAAATAAAGTGAATTAAATCTAAAAATAAGTAAATTCAAACTAAATAAAAAAAAATGGACAGCAATGACAACAAAAAATTTGTTCGCTAAAACCCTGCAAAATATATGGTATCATGGATAAATAAGACAAAAAAATGAATAATCCTTTCACTATCGTTTCACGGGTATCTAACTTTGATTTAACTAAGATTAACATTTAGAAAAATTCTAAAAAGTGTAAAAGACACTAATTTTGAAAAGTAAAATTCTTAGCAAAAAGTTTAAGAGTGCGTTTAATTAGAAGCATGAAGTTTGTTTGAAAAAAATAAATTATTATAGGTAATTCAATCGTGTTGAACTTATTTGTATGAAAATTATTAACTAAATGTGTTTGATTGATTCAGTTTTCAACCTTAGAAATATTATTCTTTTCCATTTTTTAGCGGTGGGTATATATGAGAGAGAGAAAGATATTGAATTATCTGAAAAATAAAAATCACCTCTTCTTAAATAAAATATTTTCTTTATTTTTGAGGAAAATATGATCATTTAACCAAAAGTTGAAACATATTTTTCATGATTTTTTTTAATCAAACACCCTAAAAATAAGAATTTGAATGGAAAAATAACATTCTCATGAAAAATAAAGTCAATCAAACAAACTGTAGGTTATAAAAAATTCGGAATTCACCATCTTTATCCACTTTTCTCAATTTTCTGAATTTAACCAAAACATGCTTAGGTTAAAAATCAACGATCTTAAGTTATTTAAAAACTTTCTCTAGTAAAGTTAATAATATTTTCAAATAAGAAGATACAACATATAAAGTTTTTGGATATGAAAAAAAGGGCGAAAAAACAAAATAAAACCAAAAAAAAAAATCTTTCAATTTCAATAAAATTTGTAAAGCATAGAGAGGTATATGTCCATGTTTGGTTTAGATAAAAATCAGGTTTTTATAGATTTTAATAAAAGTTGATGAAAAAAAGTTGTGGATCACATGAAATTTGTGATTAAAATTAATTGTTGATTTTGACTAAGATTTTAACACACTTTTTCAGTGGAACTTGATATTCGGGCTTCAAAAATTTTCATTACTTAAACACTAACGTCACCTCATGCATGTAAATTTGGCTTGTTGGCTCAGACGATTTGTAGCTCAGCTGAAAAAAGTTCGAGCCGACTCGAATCGCGGCTTGTTTC